TTTGGCTCTTCTTACACCCTTGTTGACGTGAGAGTTTCTATTTCCATTACCAGGCAGATGGCAACACCACTCTTATAACCCTGGAAGGAAGCCCTGGGCACATGCACCAGAGCCCAAAGAAGATGAGGGGGACCCTGCAGGGCAGAGTCCATGGCAGACAGATCGGCCTCTGCCCACTCAGCCTGAGCACCCTGCCCAATTTTGCAAACACGCTCTTGTGAAGAAGGAAGCTAAACTGGGCCATTGTCTCAAAGAAGAAAGGAGGAAGGCGTCTGGCCATTGAAGAGGGGAGTCGTGCCAGTTTCTCAGGAGGTGTTATGACTCAGCCAGGGAGAGGAAATGAGGCCTCCATCTGCTCCATTGGCTTGTTGGTTCTGAAGATTCAGTCAAACAAGCCGTCCCTTGACTTGAGCACTTGGCACCCACCGCGCTTGGCACGGCTGCCCAAAGCAGTCCCATGGACTGTAATTAAGTGGGATAAATATGTTCTCTTGGACAATGTTTTCCGGCAATGCAGGCCTGCTACTCTCTAAAGATGTGCAAGGCTCTGCATAGTCTCCAGAAGTTATGGCTTCTCCTTTTCCCCAAATCAAATCCCTTTGATTTGAAAGCTAGCAAAACCGGATCTTGCAATCCTTGCAAGGCCCCTATCCGTCAATTGTGATTCGACTCAGATGTCAGTGGCGAGCACTTTGAGTCTTTGCTACTTAAAAAGCAAACCAAAACAAGACAATTTCTCTCACTAATTCAAAAGGCTCATACAGTTTCTCTGGTTTTCAGTGATACTCCTGGTATAGCTGACATTTTGAAATATACTCCACTCTATTTTGGAAGCATGCAATGTAGCATCCAACTGTTCAGCTCAGCAATGGGGAAAGGAGAAGACGGTGCTCCTCTTGCTCTTCCCAGTAGGTTCAGGCAAAAGCAAATTGCTGTCATTTTTCCTAGCTTGTGTGCTCTTCCTCGCTGATAACTTTTGCCATCTTGACCATATGCTGATGTTGCTTGGCCATAACTACCTGAGTTTTTATCTATGAAATATTGGAAAGTATGCACACATAATAGGTACAGATCCGAATTAAGTATGGAAAGTGCACCCCTTAGGGTACATACAGTCCTTGGATTCTATTTTTGTGAACTCCAAAGCCCTATGGCACAAAATCATTGACCTTCACTTTAATTTTTTTCTGTGTCATGTTTTGGGCAATTTGTTGTGCGTGTTGTTTTTCTTCGAGTCATTTCCAACTTATGGAAATCCTACAGTGAACCTACCAAAGGGTTTTCTTGGCACGTTTTTTCAGAGGGGGTTTGCCATTGTCATCCTCTGAGGCTGAGAGAGTGTGACTTGCCCAAGGTCACCCAGTGGGCTTTCATGGCTGAACAGGGATTCGAACCCTGGTCTCCAGAGTCACAGTCCAACACTCAAACCACTACACCACACTTATTTGCCCTCAAACATCCCAAAATATAGAAAAGCCACTTGAAAAAGTGATAATTCTACTTTCCCATGAATCAAGTACCCACTACCCCAAGACCTTTTATTGGCCAAAACTGGCAAATAAATAAATAATTAAAAATGATGGCAATCAGAAGTGACGTGAATTCATGTTGTGTAATATGCTGGGCCATGCCATATGCCTGCTCATTATTGGTTAGTTTATATTACTGCGATAGCCTTTTATCGTCCAATTACAAAAATTACAAAAAATCAATTGTTGATGAAATAATAGGGATATAGGATGGAATATTTAGTTGCTGTCAATATGTTATTATTGATTTAATTATGAATTTGTAATGTATGAAAAAAATCTTAAATTTAATAAAAATTATATTAAAAAAAATTACTACAGCAGTAGCGTATGCAAAAATGCTATGTAAGCTTGTTTTAACTGCCTGTTTGTTGGATGCTCTCAGTTTCTCACACCCTTGGTTTACCAGATTCTACAAGATGGACCTTTAAATAGATGGCTGTCTTTAGTGCCTCAGGGTTTGATTCCCAGCTCGGCCATGAAATGCAATGCAAACCTTAAGCAAGTCACATACTCTCAGCCTTAGGGAAAGGCAGTAGCAACCCCTCTCTAAACAAATATTGCCAAGAAAACCCCATAATAGGTCGGCTTAGCATTGCCATAAGTTGGAAATGACTTGAAGGCACACAACAACAACAACAACAACAACAACAACAACAACAACAAAAGTGCCTCCACTTATTGAATCCTAAATTTCCCTTCTGCATATCAAATACTCCAAGTGTCCCAATTTGGCAGAGACCTGCTAATCCTCTACTATCCCACTTTTTCAGCGGCTTTTAAAATGCCCCAGTTTCTCTCATCTCCTCCCACTCTTCCCTCTCTCTTTGGCTTACTTCTGTTACTGCAAATTGAGTTCAAAGTGCAGAAATAGTTGGCACTCCAGAAATTTAGTGTGTGTGGGGAGAGGAGCTGTTGTTGTTGTTGTTGTTGCTGTTGTTGTTGTGTGCCTTCAAGTCATTTCTGACTTATGGTAACCCTAAGGCTAACCTATCACTGGGTTTTTCTGGAGCAGAGAGTGCGTGACTTGCCCAAGGTCAGTCAGTGGATTTCCTGATCTCTAGAAATGAAAGGAGTTTGTTAACTGCCTTCATGTTGATCTCAACCCATGGCAACCCTATGGATGAGCCATCTCCAAGCCTCCCTGTCCTCTCCTGCTCTGCCCAGCTCCTGCAAACTCATATTTGTGGTCTCTTTAATAAAGTCCATCCATCTAGCATGTGGCCTTCTTCCCTTTCTACTTCCCTCCACCTTTCCTAACATTATTGTCTTTTCCAGATTCATGCCTTCTCATGATGTGTTCAAAATATGACAGCCTCAGTTTGGCCATCTTGGCTTCCAGGGAGGTTTCCAGTTTTATCTGTTCTAGGACCCACTTGTTTGTCCTTTTGGCTGTCCATGGGATCTTCAGCACTCTTCTCCAGCACCACATTCTCTCAAATGCATTAATTTACCTCCTATCTTCTTTTTTGACTGTCCAGCTCTCACATCCATCCATGGCAATAGGGAATACAATGGCTTGTATGATTCTGACTTTTGTACTGAGTTGTATGTCTTTGCATTTTAGGATCTTTTATAATTCTTTCATAGCCACCTTCCCCATTCTTAATCTTTTCCTGATTTCCAGGCTGCCCGTTCCGATCAATGTTTGATTCTAGATATGATAACTCTTTTACTATTTCTATTTCCTCATTGTCTAATTTGAATGTGTGTAAGCAAAATTGTTCCTTTCCCAGTAGACTGATGCAAAAGCAAACTGGTTTATCCTAGCTGTGTGTTTTTCCTCATTAATACAGTGCGCCTTCTCGATCACACTCCAATGTTGCTTGGCCACATGCGTTCTGGTTTTCGTCTCTGAAATGTTGCAGGGTATGATAAAAACATTTCATGCTAGGGCTGCCAGCTCTTTTTGTTTTTTGTTTTAAATGGCCATACTCCTGCAAAACCAAAAGAGTACATTTCCCCAAGCCTACTATTTCATGCATCTGAAGAAGTGGGCCTGAGCACCCATCAAAGCCCAGGTTGCAAGAACATTGTTCGGCTTTTCGTAAAGAGGGCTCAAGGTTCTTTGTGGTTCCTAAAACATGTTACGATTCTCTCCTTCCATCCCTGAAATGGAAAATTCCCAATCAAGTCACACTGTGTTCCACCCAGCAGGCTAAATACACCAGTGACAAACCAACTTCCAGGGTCCAAATAGACCCTTTTTCAAACTATTGTACACCTAGCGCAAGCCTTTTGCTAGACTAATTGGACTCCCTGGAGCTTGTCCTTTTTGAATTCCCTGGAGAACAGCATGACTTCTAACAGGCTAATTTCTTACAAGCCAACAGGCACTATCCCACGGCGGAAGAGCAGTGGATGAGTCAGCTGGAGCCCGCATGAAACAATACTGCCGTAATGGCCTATACCTGTGCTATTCTGTGTTGCCGGTTGAAGAGATGGCCCTCTTTTTGTAGCATCTTTGGAAGCCTGCTGGTGAATGGGAATGAAGAAACGGAGGCTTCCTTGATGGCCACTAATGGACTGGTCCGCTAGTCTGTCTAAAACACCAGTTGTGGACTCAGTTGCTGAAGCTGTCCATATCTGCATGGTGGAGGCTGGAAAACAGAGGTGGTGATGGGGGCCATTTTAGACGGATGTAGTGATCTTGGGCAAGTCACACTCTTTCAGCCTCAAGGGACGGCAATGGCAAACCTCCTCTGAAGAAACTTGCTGAGAAGCCCCTATGATAGATCATCTTAACAACAATGACACCAACAACATGAGTCTCAGCATGGTCTAGTGGTTTGAGTGTTGGACCATGACTCCGAAGGCCGGGGTTCAATTTCCTGCTCCACCATGAAACCCACTGGGTGACCCTAGGCAGGTCACACACTCTCAGCCACAGGGGAAGGCCATGGCACACCTCCTCTGAACAAATCTTGCCAAGAAACCCACATGATAGGTTCACCTTAGGGTCGACATATGTCAGAAATGACTTGAAGGTGCATAACAACAACAACAACAACAACAACATAAGTCCTAGCATGGTCTAGTGGTTTGAGTGTTGGACCATGACTCTGAAGGCCAGGGTTCAATTTCCTGCTCCACCATGAAGCCCACTGGGTGACCCTGGGCAGGTCACACGCTCTCAGCCTCAGGGGAAGGCCATGGCAAACCTCCTCTGAACAAATTTTGCCAAGAAAACTCCTTGATAGGTTCACCTTAGGGGTGCCCTAAGTCAGAAATGACTTGAAGGCTCACAACAACAACAACAAAGTGTAGAGCTCCCTGGGGACAGGCCTCAGTCACCTCAGGTGGAAGTGATTTGGGCATACCAAGCCCAAGAAGCTGAGATGGATGTATTGTCTGTTTCAGCTTGTTTTATGTGTGGATGGAGACAGAAAAGGATAAATAGAGGAGAAGGAGAAACAGATGGTAGAAGTAGAAAAGGGATGGCTTGCCTACTTTTACCTTTGTTTCCAACTGACCATTGCTTTAACCCCACTCACCATCAGCAGACAATCTCAGACAAGAGAACGTGGCCCTTTACAAGGGAAAAAAGGTGCCCAGGTGTCTTGCACCTTCACCCATCTTTGGTTGCATGTCAACATATCCTCAACAAGTTGACAATTTTTTCTCAGCAGAGAATGAGAAATGTGGTCTAGATAAGCCGTGTCTCTACACTGTTAAAAAGAGTTTCATACCACCTTGTCATGACTCCATTCTATGGAAGCCTGGGATTTTTAATCTGGGGAACCACTTAAAACTTATCTCCTGGAGATCTCTAGTGTTGTGGCTCAGGGGAGGGTGCGAGAGCGTTCGCCCGAGAGTTCTAGGTCCCTCATCCAACTATATATCCCAGGATTGCATGGGATGAAGCCATGTCTGGTAAAGTGGTATTGGATTGTCATAATTTGATTGTAGTGGAGACATCTTCTAAGAGCTAAAAAGAGTCAGAGCTGAGTTGGGGCTCCTTAATGTTAATAGCATTTTGGAGGTACTGGCTTGCCTCTCTAGAGAGCTGATATGGAGCAGTGGATTTTGCTGAATATTGAAGGTGGCCCATTTCTCCCTGTGTTCAACCTATATATTTGTAAATAAACTCAACTATTACAAAATGCCATTAAGCCACTGGGGATCTCTGACAAGAGGTGCATCCTTGGAACGTCATCTCTCCAAGAAGTAGAGTGAGTAGAAGCAATATCAACAGGTCAAGATAGTACTGATGAAATTTCAACTGTTGATTATTGTGTGTATCGTTCTGCTCTTAATAAGAGTCTGTGTTCGTAAATGCATCACGGACACACATACACGCTGAAGAGTGGCAAGACTCAATGGAAGCCATCATTTGCAGAGACTGCTTGGAAAAGTTCCTTTTTTGGATCACAATGCCCATAATCCTTTAACTGGCATAGCCAGTGGCTATGCTGCTATTCTGGGAACTCTAGGGAGGAAAAGAGTAACTCTTCCAAGCTCTGGCTGAAGGAAATCAGTCTAGCATCCTCAGAGTGGAAATAGATTTCTTTATTAGGAAACTGTTCTGATGCACCAGTGCACCACCCACCCAACCTCCCGTCCAAGCCGTCTCTTTCCAAAGATGCCAGCTATTTCTGGAGAGAGCCTGGTTTTTCATAATTAAATTCCTAATTATCTGTTTGCTTGTTAATTAGGATTGTATGGATAACTGGCAACGAGGGGCTGCTAAAGAGGCAATTACCCACAAAGAAGCCATCTCACCATGGTGGTTTTCTCACTGGAGCTAGTTTGCAAAGCATCTCCACCAATTGGGCAACTTTGTCTCACTTCCCTTGGTTCCTTCTTGGCTCTGGGCATAGATGCCTTGCAGCTGGGCCTTGTAAATGCCACCAATCTCTTTACCTCCTCTTCTGAGCCTCTGCGCTTCATAGCCATTTCTGCATCAAGTCAATTGTCTGTAATCCCATAATATGGTTGGCAAACTTGGGGACGAACCACCTTTTTGTGTTGTTGTTGTTCCATAAGTGACAGTCTCCTCTGACATCTGTGATGCAAACTGAAAATCAAGGTTGGTGACAATCATGTTCATATTTAACTGAAAAATTGGCTCTCTTTCATACCCGCCAACATTTCACAGACGAAAACTGGTTCATGTGTGGTCTAGCAACATCAGAGAGCATCATCAAAAGGGAAAACTTTCATTAATAAGGAAGAGGACATAAACTAGGAGAGGCTGCAGCAGTTTGCTTTTGCCTGAGCTCACTGGGAAAAGCAGGATTCTGCTCTCTCCTCTTCCACAATAATTGTGTGCAAACTACACACCTCTCTAGGAATATCTAGGTCCTCCTGTGCCACATCTGCCAGATGTTGACCATAGAATTGCACTGCAGGACCTACAATTGGCCCAGAGAAGTCTTCTCTCTAGGAATATCTAGTTCCTCTAGCATGACGTCTGGCAGACGTAGACCTTAGAGTCACACTGGATGATGACCTAGAGATTCCTAGAGAGGACACATTAATTAAATTTGTCAATAATCAAATCCACAAAAATCAAAGCTGCAAATGTGGAGGGCCAACAGCATACTCTTGTATAAGTCAACCTCATGTATAAGTCAAGGGCAGGTTTGGAGACAAAAGTTATGGATTTTGATATGACCCATTGATAACTCAAAGGTCATTCTGTGGAGAGGGGAAAGTGCCAGTGCTGTTCCTGGCCACTGCTGCCGCCATTTTCCCACCCAGGTATTCAAAAAGTTTTTTGGTCACTCTACTCCAAGAAATGGACAGATCCTTCTTTTGATAAAACTTAAGGTACAGTATTAACTCATACCAAAAAAAAGGGAGCCATCCCCTTTTCTGAGCAGAGTGGTGAAAGGCAAGAGCTTAGGAGTGGAGCTAAAAGAAGAACCAATTCCTTCTACTCTCTTGGTGCTCTTTTGGGGGGAAGCACCAAAGAGCCACTGCCAATGCTACCATTTTCCCACCAGGCATTCAAAAAAGTCCAAAAGTGGCACCACGGTGGAGAGACCAAAAAGAGTCGGTGCTGTTTTAGGTTCTCCCGAGATGAACTAAGCTCTCACCTTTCACCACTTTACTCAGAGAATGGGATGGTTCCTTTTTGATAAGAGTTAAAGTACAGTACTTCCATGGACCCCTGGATAAGTTGACCCAGGTTTGTAGGGTCAATTTTTTGACTAACATTTCTAGACTTATACATGAGCACAGGATATAGTAGTTTGGGTATTAGACTACAACTCTAGTGACCAGGGTTTGATTCCCTGCTCAAGCATAAAAGCACACTGGGTGACCTTCAGCAAGTTACACTCTCTCAGCCTCAGAGGATGGCAAGGGCAAGCCCCCTCTGACGACACTTGCCAAGAAAACCCCATGATAGGTTCACCTTAGGGTGGCCATAAGTCAAAAATGACTTGGAGGCACACAACGACAACCATATACAGTAAGATTTCCAAGCTCAACAACATTTTAGTTAAAAGTTTTCTCTCCTCTCATTGCCTTCTTTCCTTTTAAGACCAAACCGCTGAATCACACGGATTTTCACATGGCTCTTCTGACTGTCAGAAGCAGAGGGCTAATGCCTCTGGGCTTAAATCTTCTGGAGTATCCATGAGGAATGAGCTACCCAAGAATAATCTGTGGCCTCTCACCTGTGTTTATGGAGCCGATTGATCCAGAGTTATCTTACCTGTAGCAGGATGACAGTACAGACTGTCTGTTTAAGATCAGTTGGAATTGCCACACAGGTATATGGCAGGTAAAGCTCATCCTGGCTTGACACAGAGATAATGCCGGAGGAAAGCATAACCTGCTACATTTCTAAATGTCAGGCTACTGTCAGAGTACACAGCCAGGAAAAAGAATATAACTTTCTTGTGATGCTCTGTCTCTCTTTAAAAAACCCTAAATGCTAGCATTTATTTGCAATCTGTTTATTATTAATTTACACATTATTAATTTATAACTACATTGATATTACAGGTATCCATCAGTTCATGGAGCAGATTTGTTCCTGGCCTTTACTTTTGTAACCAAACAAAACAAAACAAAAATTGGTACTTTTTGGTACCTCGAAAGAAGAAGAGGAAGAGGAGGAGGAGGAGATAGTTCAATATGTTTTACAAAATTGTTATTCGAAACAAACAGTATGCACATGTGAAATGAAACAAGTAGGTCAGGTAAGCCTTGCAAAATAAAATAAAATAAAATAAAATAAAATATACCGTAAACGCTTTGCACTTCTAAAAACTGCTTGAAAGCTTCTTCTAAAATACATCCAGGGATGACTTTTTCTTTCACCAGCTTCCACTTTTCTTATGATTTCCTTTTTGCTAGCAAATTTACAGGTCTATGCTTTTTAACCTTTTTGGTTAACTTACTTGCTGTTCTTTTTTCTGCATCTACAGCTTGATTGGCATCTCTAGCTTCCATAGAGTTGGAAGAGACCCCAAGGGCCATCCAGTCCAACCCCCTGCCATGCAGGAGCTCTCAATCACAGCTTTCCCAATAGATGTCCATCCAGCCTCTGTTTAAAAACCTCCAAAGAAGGAGACTCCATGACACTCTGAGGAAGTGTCTTCCAATCTCAAACAGCTCCTACTGTCAGGAGGTTCTTCCTCAGGTTGAGTTGGAATCTCCTTTCCTGTAATTTGAATCCACCACTCTAGATCCTAATCTCTGGAGCAGCAGAAAACAAGCTTGCTCCATCCTCAATATGACATCCCTTCATATATTTAAACATGGCTATCATTTGACCTCTTAATCTTCTCTTCTGCAGGTTAAAAATACCGTTTCTTAAGGTGCTTCTCAGAGGACTTGTTTTTCAGATCTTTCACCATTTTGGTCATCTCACCCTCCCCTGGA